TCATTGTACAGTTTTTTTTCCCTTATCAATTTGGGGAAGTTTATTAATTTGAGGTCGTTTGCAAATAAAATATATACCTTGCAAACACCTTTAATATTAATCAACTCTCTCGTGGAAACCTGTTCGTCGTCACCCAAGAAGCAGTCATTCCAACCGTCACTAATTTGTAGGAGTACATTTATTGTGGGGATTTCCTTCTTTAGTTTATTCTTGAAGCTTCAGCGAAAATTAGTTGAACTCTTTTAATACCTACTTCGTTTATTAAGACAAGTACACTTCTATAATAGGCTTTGGTTCTTTCTTTAGTATACAACTCTCTCTCTCTCTCTCTCTCCGAATTTTAACTCTGTCTACGGAGCGTATACCCACATGTGCATTATTACATTTCCTGGTTCAATTAACAAATGGCACATACAAATCTTACGTTTCTCTAATTTACATAAGCAACTTCATTTACACTGCCCATGGTAACAATGACTCACACGAATCCACCTGTTTCAAGTTTCCCTACGACGTAGATAAAGAGCTCCTCTAATTCTCTTAACCTAACTAACTACAGACCTAATAATTACATACAGACTTATGACTTGTTCATTTAAAGGAAGACATGCATGAACACTTTGGGACACTATCAGATGATACATTGCAGCTCTGAGACTCGAGAATGTCATCATCCCATTGACGTTGAAAACGATATAGCAAGTGCTACAATTATCATGTAACACTGAGACCTAAGAATAAATTTTCTTCATGTACATAAAGAGTTTTTTTATATATTTTTCAGTCCAACCTTTTCATTGATTGAACTTGTACTAATATTTCTTGGATAGACTTTCCATTTAAAGGAGTTGTCTTCCGTGTCAAATGTATCGGAAGTGTTAATAGAAGTCTTTATAAAGAAACTAACAGACTTGAACAGAAACGAACCCTTACACCTAAAATTTATGAATAATAATAATGCTATTTCTATGAAGATATGATGATACATTTATTGTTGAAAAACGTTCAATGTTTTCAAAATTGTGTTCCGGTCATTCAAAATATAAAAAAATAAAGTAAAAAATCGATTAGATTAGGTCCTTTCTGTATGCTGAGATTAGCAGGACTTAGTAGTTCATATGTCAGAAGTTACCTAGTTCATTGGTCAGGTTACCTAACTATATGTCAAAACTTACCTAGTTCATAGGTCAGAAGTTACCTAGTTCATAGGTCAGAAGTTACCTAGTTCATAGGTCAGAAGTTACCTAGTTCATAGGTCAGAAGTTACCTAGTTCATAGGTCAGAAGTTACCTAGTTCATAGGTCAGAAGTTACCTAGTTCATAGGTCACAAGTATCATTGTATATTGGTCAGAACTTCATAGAATTACATATTTCGTTTAAATCTCATAGTGTTTTTGAAATAGTAGACATAAATGTAATCTGTTGTCTTTTATCTTTGCAATCTGTTTGTTATTTAACATTCTCCCTACAATAAAATACTAAATAAGAACGTTTTAAGAACGAATCATTCCCTTGACAACAGATGATCATACACGTGATTAAGCTTCAGGGCAATCAAACCTTTTGGTCCATGCAAGCTGACTCTCAAATGTCTTGTTATTGTCCCTTCAAATAAATCTTTCGACTTTTATAAACGAAATTACGGGCAGCTAACCAGGTGACAAAAATAATCGACATGATTATAGTTTATTTCTTTAACCTTTGTAAACCCATTTGTTTGTGTGACGTTCACAGCACAAATAATATGAACTAAAGTGTCATTTCTTCCTACTAGCACAGCATCATTGATTAGAATCTTTTAATCAATCCGGCCTAAATTATGTTAAAATGTATAGAATGCTCTAAGAAGTATTCGCTTATGAAGATTTCAAAAATCTATTGTATGACTTCTAACCACAAAGGTTCATGTTTTCCCGATGCCTCAAACTATATGTATCAACCTGGCATCCCTTTCATGTTCTCTATTGTTTCTACACATTTTGGAAATTGTTTCCATATGAGAGAAATCTACTGAGATACTGTTTCAAAAGTGTCCATCAAGTAAAGTGGATGTTGGTGCTCAGTTAATTGTAAAGGTAAAAAGTCTTAAAATATTGGACATTTGTAACCATTTGTTTGGCGGATAATTGGAATCTCACCTTGATTTTAATGTTCAGGTTAGTTTAGTCTAGAAGCAGTACAAAGCGTACACACAGAAAAACTGTAATTCTTTAGATAGCTTGAAACTCGATGAGTCAAAATTAAGAAAAGAAAATTTCTTTGACTTTGAATACCATTTATATAATTTTTTACATTCTCCACAAAATAGTAATTTGAACAATTATTATTTAGAGCCTTGTCCTTTTCCCCTATAACCACTGCATCTTTGATTACCTAGTTCATCTTTGATTAGACTCTTTGATCGGTTTCAATCTTTTATTCGCTTAGGAAAGTTTCAAAACTTGTTTGTAGATTTCTTTCAAAGTCAAAATATTAAAGGCCATTAGGTGAGCTCTTTCCTGTCCGCAGTGATTGGCAGAGCTTACCCAGTTCATTAATTCTCATGTTTTTCAAATAAGACATTAATGTAATTTGCAGTCTTTTATCTTTTCAAGCAAATTTTTTTGTATGTTAGAAATTCTCTGCAAATAAATAACTTCTCAATTTCTAGTGGATCTAGTAGATTGTCATTTTCTCTTTAAACTCGTAACAAAGTTTGTATCATGTAATGTTGTAATTTTATTGTGACTCATATCTGGCTTGAATTGGAAAGCTAAAGGCTTTATTCAATATTACAGTTATGTCAAGTTGAAACTAACAGTCTCTTAAAATGGATTGTAGTTGTATAACTCTCGGTGGTTGGGAAATTCTACCCAGCTTGATAATAAAATTAATATCCCTATAAAATTTAATAGCACAATGAGTTGAATATCTTGTAGAGTAACTGTCACGTCTCTACATAAAAACCCTTTCATTATCCTCTCGAGTGCAGTCTTCCTTACCGTCACAAATATATATTTCATCTTTTTTTCTAGAGCTTTTATAGCACTTGTAACACTTATTTCTGTTTTAAAAAAGAATGAATATTGATCTTCATTCTCACCATAAAGACAATCTTCCATTCCATCATTTAAGTAACAACCTGTGAATTAATATGCGACCTAGAATTTTTTATACCTGATTATATGCTTCCCAAGCCATATAATCCCCTGCCTATAACTGACATAAATACATTTAGACGCCCATATTTTGATGTAACGGGTTGACTGTGTAAATGTGTGTTTACTGCGTGCAGTAAACATTTTCTAAAGAGACTTATTTGTTTCTTTTTTATCTCTATTAACCGATTTTTTTTAAATTCTGGTAATTCTGAAACGTTTATAATTGAGAAAGGAGCAGTTGAACGCTCAATGCATGTGGAATGCAAACATTTGGCGAACAATGCCAGTGGAATATAAACTAATGTATGACTCGTCACTACTATCCGAGAAATCTGCTATCATGTTGCATATTTTTTCCCTTATTAATTTGGGGGGAGTTTGTGAATTTGAGGTTGTTTGCAAATGAAATGTATACCTTGAAAATACCTTTAATATTAATCAGCTCTCCCGTGGAAATCTGTTCGTCGTCACCCAAGAAGCAGTCATTCCAACGTCACTAATTTGTACGAGTACATTTATTGTGGGGATTTCCTTCTTTAGTTTATTCTTGAAGCTTCAGCGAAAATAAGTTGAACTCTTTGAACACCTACAACGTTTATTAAGACAAGTTTACACTTCTCTAATAGGCTTTAGTTCTTTCTTTAGTATACAACTCTCTCTCTCTCTCTCTCTGAATTTTAACTCTGTCTACAAAATCCATGTCCTTAAAGACATGCTATTTAGGCCTACTAGTACATTATCATATTTCCTGGTTCAATTAACAAACGGCACATACAAATCTTTTCTAGGTTTCTCTAATTAGTTTTAAATGTGAAAAAAAAGACTTAAAATATTGGAAATTAATTTCCATTTGTTTGTCGGATAATTGGAATCTTACCTTAATTTTCATGTTCGCAGGTTAGTTTAATCTAGAAGCAGTACAAAGTGTAAACACAGAAAAACTAATTCTTTAGATAGCTTGAAACGTGGTGTTTATGTCTACCCCGATGACTCAAAATTAGAAAAAAAATTGTTTTCGACTAAGGGAACCCATTTCTATTTGTTTTACACTATCCACAAACATAATAATTTAATCAAATAATATTTAGAACATTGTCGTTTTCTATATAATCACTGCATCTTTGATCAGAATCTCTCTTTTGTCGGTTTCGATCTTTTATTCTCTACCGAAACTATGAAGTTCAAAATGTCATATTTCACAAAGAAGTATTCACTTCGGAAAGTTTCAAAACTGTTTGATTTCTTTCTTGTACGATGTCGATATAAATGTGTCATGTTTGTTCCCCATTGTTTCACGAAACTATTTCAGCCCTCATTTCCTTCCTTTAACGTCACAGGAAATTTTAAAAGCCTTTTCAATTTATTTCCGAAGCTTCAAAATATTTGTCCCATAGAGTTCCTTCCTCTAGCACTGGTATAATGTTAAGCCTTTTCCATTTATTTCCGAAGCTTCAAAATATTTGTCCCATAGAGTTCCTTCCTCTAGCACTGGTATAATGTTAAGCCTTTTCAGTAGGTCTATAGTTCGCTAAGGACAACATGTTCAGTTGATGTTTAATTATGTTTCTGCTTTGATGTATGCAATAACGCATTGTCTTCAAGTCTAAGGATTGAGAAACAGTGCAGCAATTATCGTTTAAAAGCAAACCCATTGGCGACATGCATATTTCCCCATATTTAATGCAAGCAAAATCATTGTCTGCCGGCGGTCTATTAAAAAATAACTATTGACAAAATATCACAAACAAAAATTGCAAAAAGTAGAATTTGAACTCATTGCACAGTTTTGTAACAAACAATAAATGTAGGTAACTAGCTCACTTTGGTTAGGGTTCAACAAAAATGAAAAAGGATAACTTTGGGGGGGGGGGGGGGGGGGGGCAGAGGGAATATTGTAAGGAAGGTTCGAGACACCGACCCTGAGTACATGAAAGTTAATCGCAGGAGGAAGGGGCTAGAACAATCCTCATTTCTTTAAGCTAATAAGACAACAGAGAGAGAGAGAGAGAGCTCAGATTTAGGGCTGTTGTTTTTGTTCTTTTACCGATAACAAACTGCTTTTGGACTCAATCAAAATGACATCTTCATGCCTATAAATACATTTTCTTGTGTAAACTCAATGTTCGCCTTGTCTGATGAAAATGTTACAATATTTACATTGTTGTGAACAGGTAAATGTTATTGGGTATATTGCATTGTATGTTAGAGCATTGGAATATTTTTTTTAGTTTTTGTTATTAAATTGAAAAAAAAAATGGTACTGATATCGTTTTGTACATTTCCTCTGAAAATGTTAATAAGGGACTACTGTAGGTAGAACAAACTCTTGACCTTAGCCTATGCGCATGTCTTCTAACCTATGTTCATTTAGAGAGGTTTTAGATCAGGAATAATTATTGTCAATACATGAAGTAGATAGCAAACATTTTATATTTCTTCTGTTGTTTTTTTTTAAAGCATCGAGCTTTAATTTTTTAGCAATAATGTAGCTTTTTTTTTTTTGTATTTTCCACTTAAAATGTATAAACATTTTGACTTTTTTTGATTCTATTCTCTATATTGGCCCTATATCAACAAATGTCCAGAAGCAGACTATAGCTTTTGTCTAAAAGACAGAAATGAAAACAAAAATTATTTCCCTTGATACTTGTAAATCTTCTGTGACATAAAACAAAAATGTTGAGCCAGAAGTATCACTTTCAAGAAGAAGAAAAAAAAGGTTAGATGCACAAATCTAGTATATATAGGTAGTGATCCAGACCTAGTATATATAGGATTGTGATCAGATGTTAGCATACATAGGTATTCATGTGTGAATGTTGTAATCTTGTTTAAGCTTGTGATCAGTTGTCATCTCTGTGTAGAGAGAAACTGATTGCACTCATTAGAGAGATGGTTTTTTTTCTATACATGATTGTAAATAGCTGCCTCTTGTTAATGTAGATACAATGAAAGTGTAAAATTTAGAAAGAAAAATATGTTCTCCTATACAATGCATTTTGTGTGTAAAGGAATTATATATATATATATATATATATATATATAATAAAATAAAAGTGACTTCAATGCCAGAGATTGTTGCTTTATGTTTTCAAAGTATTTGTATTATTTGTTTTACTAGTGTCTCTCAACAGAACACACACCCTTTTAAAAGAAGAATAATATTAATAAGGTTTTTTGTCAAGCTTGAGGATTAATGAGAGGTACAGTATTCCACGTGGCTTTGCAGTACCAGCTGTGACCTCTATATGTTGCCACACCCAGAGCAGACATTACCGTTGTCCGATTCTTGTAATGACACTTTTTTATACTACATTGATCAAAGTCCTTTCAAACCAACATCACAGAAAATGAATATAAAACTAAATAGTGAAATATACAACAAATCAAGATTGCATATAACTTTTAAGCATAAATTCAATGCTGTCTTGATCATTTTCTACAAGTAGTAAAAGTTATCATCCAGGCATTACAGAAAAACAAATATGGAAGAAAAAAAAACATAACACTTATTTTTTAGAAATGCCAATATTATTGCTTAAGTCTTAAAGAAATACAAATAGTTTGACTGCCTTTAAAAATCACACAAGATTTCTAGTTTAGCAATATTGAAATACAAAGGCAATCAAAGCAGGAAATAGTTCATTTTTAATTTCACTCCATTTTGAATTATGTTTACAGAGCGTCCAGCTCCAATTCCGTCTCCCAACTCCCCCCCCCCCTCCCAATATGCCTGGAAATCAGATTGGACCAAAGTACACCAAGAATGATGCAGGCACATGAAAGAGGCACATTACAAGAGATAATAATAAAGTAATAGGATCTGTTGCATAACTTTTCAACAAGAGATAATATCATAGTCAAACAAAAGTTGAGAAATCATTGTAAATACAAAATAAAAAAAACTATGACAACTCAGTATAAGATCACTCAATAACACACTGTTACAAACGCTGACAAGACCAAAAAATACAACCTTTTGGAATAAAGAGACAAAACTCAATACTAGTCTCTGTGTTGCTACATGTATTTGTAATTAGTTTTGAAATTCACTTCTTCTTCTTCTTCTTCTAGCCAGCTTTTTGCTGCTGAGCTGTCAGCTCTTTTGCAGACTGTGCCAAGTAAAAATAGTGTGCAGTTTTCTTCAGTTGTTTAGCACTGCCGTACAGGGTGTTGGTTATGTTGGGCTGGAGTGGTAGTAGGGTCTGCCTAAGGTGGATTAGGAAGAGGCATAACGGTGGGCGCAGTGTCTACAAAGGGAGAGTTGTGTGGGATTTATTTTATTGAGATGGTAATTTAACAGAGGTGTGTGTCGTGTCCTTAGTTGGAAGATTGTAGATTGCTCTTTGCGGGGTAGGAAGTTAATACTGTCCAGTTTGTTAGGCATGTTCATTTCTTTGTACATGGCTCTGCCTGTGTTTCCTGTTGCCCATTGGTTGAGCCACTCCTCTTTGTGGTGTTGATTAACATTGACCTTAAGGGGAGGTGGTTAACAGGTCTATCTGGTTGTTCCATAGATGATCCTGCCTTTGAAAGCTTATCTGCCCTTTCATTTCTCATGACGCCAATGTGCCCGGGATCCACTGTAATGTGATGATGATGTTTAATTTTGTCATCATCTGGTGTATTATCACTATTAGTGTTGTCAACTCTCTTGGGCTTTTTGAGGTGCTGCTGTTAAGTGCTTGAAGAGTGGATTGAGTCTGTAAAGACAATATCTGATGGTGGTTGTATTCCTTCATATAATTTGTTTTTGACTGTCTGCAAAGCTATAGTAATTGCCTCAATTTTGGCTTGGAAGTTTGAGCAGTAGTCGCCACAGTGTGCACTTATTTCAAAGTGTTTATTTTTGGGAAAGACCAGGAAGGCACCAAGACCAGCATTGATGATGGCTTTGAAGGCTGATCCATCGGTGTATACATGGATGGCTGTTTTTGGATAGCTTTCAATTGCTTCGAGTGTGCCTACTTTGAGCTAAAGTGGATTTGATTCTTTTGTTAGTGTTATTTATTAAATTTGTTTTAATGGTTGGTTGTTTGTAGTTAAGTCCAGGAGTTATGTTTGAGAATCTGGTAATTTTTTCTCTGTTATTGGGTAGATGGTGTTTTAGGGCAAGGGTTAGGGTAAACCACAAAGCTGTAAACAGGTAGTACATAGAAGTTTAATCAATTACTTTCACCTGCTAAAGGCAGCAAGAAAACCTTTTCCCATTGGTATACATAAGAGATTAGACAAATAGCACATTGATCATAGTATTGCATGAAAAATACGCATTACAAAACAAAAACATTGAAAACACTATTAAATGTCAAGGCATGGTGGCAGAGTGATAACGCGCTTGACTTCCAAACCAAGGGGTCCTAGATTGGAATCCTGGGATTTTTTATTTTGTGATCTTAAGGAGGCATCTGAGTCCACCCAGCTCTAATGGGTACCTAACGTTAGCTGGGGAAAAGTTGTTCACAAATACTATTAAAAGGAACAGAAATTTTTTTTTTTAATTCTCATTTTGTTTCTCTGATCCAATAGTTTAAAAAAAAAAAATCAGATATATTGATTCAAGGAGCCTGTCAGATCCAAAAAGTGAAGGAAACATTTATATCTTAAAATGTTTAAATATAAACTTAATTAGACGCTGCACTTGATAACATCATCAGGGATTATAAATGTGAACTTGTTATTGAGCAAGAATTTGTATAAAGGTTCTTTGAAGACAAGAGTCTTAAGACATGTATAAAGTAAAGTGTTAATACTTCATTTGGGTTAGGTTGTTTTCAAAATATCTTTCTTGGCAAGAGTATCTGATGATTTTTAAACATTGAAAACTTGTTGATTACCTGCCATACAGCTAAAAAAATTATGATTATGATTTCAGAATTCTTAGAGCATCCCTGTGTCCATCCAACTCTAATAGGTACCTGACTTAAGTTGGGAAAAGTAAAGACACTGTTGGCCACACGATAACATGTTTTGAAAATATTTCTTATTCATTAGAATAAGTTTTGCTGAACCCCTAAATCAGAATCAATTATAGTTTCTTTATTATTAGTTGCTCCCATTGCTACATCTCTTAGACATTTAGAACTGAAGGAATAAAACAAGAGAGCAAGTGAAGCGGCAACTTCCATTTTATTCAAAACTCTTAAACATTCTTTCTTGTAAAGATAAAAAGGGTGACCCAGTGATCTAGATCAGTGTTTCCCAAACTTTTCTTTAACGGAACACTTCTCACATTCGGAGTATTTAGCGGAACACATTGCTTATTTTTTTTAGAGAGGTTTATTCTCAGGTGGCCTACTGCTTCATTATTTCAGCAGCTGGTGGAACGCATGTTGAGGCCTCATGGAACAGATGGGTTACGCAGAACATAGTTTTGGAAACACTGATCTAGATAAAGAGAGGGCAGGAAAGGGTTAGTATTTTAATAAGCAATTATAAGACAAGTATGTTCCATGAGGAAGATAAAGGGCAGATGATATAGATGGCAAGTTATGAGATTTCATTGAAATAATGTTAAAAAATAACATTTTCTTAAATTATAAAATAATAAAAAAATTTAACAAAGTAACATTACTTTTTACATGACAAAATACCAACTTGACATTTGTTCATAAATAGCAAAGTATCATATCAACACAACAACAATGTTAAAATCCTACTTCCATCTATGGTCTGACTGGAATCTCAATAGTCCTAAGCAATAAAGACAAAAATAAAAGTTATTTTAGATTGTACCATTTATTTGTTATATAATATAACTCTTCTATACATTTAAACTAATCCAAAATATGACTTAGATAACCACACGACATCAAAATTTGTTCAAATATTGATGTTTATGACATATTGTTTGGTGCACCATCAAACTTTTAAAGTCATAAATAAATAACAAAAGACTGATGACCAATGACAAAGGAAAGGACCAAAGAGCAATGAAGACAATCTATACAATAAGTTCCCGTCACTTCATCACCGGTCAATTCATACCCTGGTCATTTCATCCCGTTATTTTCATCCTCTGATCATTTTATCTAACAAATAGTAATTGTAAAAATCATGAAATAAGCAATATTTAATATATTCATTTTTTATTTAGATGACAAAAAGTGTAACACATTAGATAACAATAAAATTAAAATTAAATGCCATTAAAAACTATAAAAATTTAACATGTATAGAGGTAATGTAAAAAAGTGTTATCCAGATATGGGTGAAGTCAGCCTTTATTAGAAAAACAACAACAACCTTATTTCAAGGTTAAAAATGACTCGCCCAATTTCAAGAGAGAGCGATTGAAAAAAAAAAGTGAAACATGGTTGTACTTCTACCACACCTTGGCCTTTGATGATAAGTTATCAGCGGCACTGTCATAATTATTCTAATTGCACTTCGCACTAATCTCTCAAAAGATTTCCACTACTTCCACCAAAACTTGGCCTTTGATTATAATATTACATCCCCCACATCCAATAGCTATAGCTCTTCTATAAATCTTGTAAATCTGGGTGTGTACTTAGCTATAGCGCTTCTAAGATTTCTCATCAAGAATGCAAAGTGGAAGAGGAAACACTATAAATGCATTAGTAACATGTCAAAAAATATCAAAAAGCATTCTACATAATCATATTTATATATTAGATGAAATGAGGGCTTAAAGTCAAAGCCTTAATAGCAGAATTAAACAATGAACAAAAATTTTTTTATTGGGGATGAAATGACCAGGGGATGAAATGACTGCTCACCATACAATCATAGTAATCATCACCAATGTTATAATCACCTAATATCAGAAATAAAATAAATAAACTAGAAACACATGACTCATAACACATGGTACAATAACTATAAACTTAAGCAATGTCAACTTAGAAACATGGTTTGATCATACTTAATACCTTAATATTCTATAGAATGCTATGCTACACAGCTGCTAAGTCATAGCATTCTGGCTAGTAGTGCTAAAGCTAACAGTTCAAGTCCTTTTCTTCTGGAGGTGAAGTGGCTGTAGTGAAGCACTTAGCTTACAAAGGGGACTCAGGTTTGAATCCCAGTGAAGACTGGGATTTTAATTTTGAAATTCGTATGGAATTCAGCTCTAATAGGTATCTGACTTTGGTTGGGAAAAGAAAAGGCAGTGTTGGCCACATCACACCCTTGTTAGCTTTAAGCCACAGACTGACAGAAAAAGATGACCTTTACATCATCTGCTCTCATAGATCACAAGATCCAACAAAAGGGATACTTTTACTTTACCATAAATCTAGTAGGTACTCACTGTTTTAAAAATGTTATGTAACCATCTTCCAGCTTTGCAAAATATGTGGCTATTTTCTGTTCTTTTTGCAGGCAAGTCACACCCATGATATTCACAGCTATCATGTGCTGATACTCAGTTAAGTCTTTTTGTGTAACTCCTTCTATAAGTGATTTCACCTAAATCAAAAATAAAGTTTAGAGTTGAACAAGTCTTTAAAATTTTTTTATTATTTTTGGTCATGCTGGTGTCAGAAAAGTCATTGCAAAACATTTACAGCATTATTGGCCTCCTTCAGTTATGAAACGACTATGGTTCATCTGATAGACCAGGGCTTTGAACAGATGACAAACAGGGCATTAGCAATGCTCTCAATACTACAGTAGTTTTCCCCTCTCCATGAAGGTTAGGAGTTGGACTAGTTATCAGAGGCTGAGACGCATTACAATAGAAGCATTTTATGGATAAAGTAG